CCAGGGTACATTCCTGGGTTGCAGGCCAGAACCCCCAGCAACTGCACATTGATATTTCTCTCTCTCTCTCTCTATCTCTCTATCTCCCTCCCTTCCCTCTCTAAAAATAAATAAATAAAATCTTTGAAAAAAAAAAGAGAGACTTAAAATACATATCAATATGTAGACACAAAACACATTATGTTGAGTTTGGATCCTGATTAACAAAACAACTGTAAATAAAGCTATGATTTGTTTTTGATAACTTTGATGATATTAACAAACTTTTTCAGATGTGGTAATGATGTGGTTTTGTTTTTAAGAAAAATGAGACTACCTTGGCCAGACCGCTCTGTTGGTTGGAGAATCCTCCCTTACACCAAAAGGTTATGAGTTAAATTTCTGGTCAGGGCACATATCTAAATTTCGGGTTTAATCCCTGATAGGGGTGCATGTGAGAGGCAACTGATATATGTTTCTCTCCCCGCCACCACCTAAAATCAATAAACATATACTTGTGTGAGGATTTAAAAAGGAAGAAGAAAAATGATACCGTATCTTATAGAGATACAAACTGAAGAATTTAAAGACTAAAATAATAAAGTGGCAGGGGTTTGCTTTAAAATGATACATTTAGGAAAGAGGTAATTGGTACCAGCATATATGCAACAAGATTGGCTGTGTGTTGATAATTGCTGACACTAGATGTGGGTACATACGGGTTTATTATACTATTCATCCTGCTTTTGTATATGTTTGAACTTTTCCATAATAAAATATTTTAAGTATACCTGTGTTAATTTTCCATTTATATGTGATAACTACCACAAAACAGCACACGATTATCTCATAGTTCCTGTGGGTTACAAATCAAGGCATGGCTTAACTGCGTTCCCGTTTCGGGTCTCTCAGGACTGCACTCAGTGTGTCAGCCAAGCCATATTCTCATCTGGAAGCTCTGGGGGAAATCTGCTTCCAGGCCCAGATGGGTTGTTGCAGCATTCATTTCCTGGGAGACCTTCTAACCACTTAACCATCATTAGATGCTGCTACATTAGGTTCAATTTTTGCTCAAATTCACTCTTAAATTTTATACACACACACACACACACACACACGTGTATATATTATAGCTCTGTCAGGGATGCAGCTTTTTGCTGGCTGTTGGCTGGAGGATATCCTCTGGTCCCGCAGACTGATAGCAGTTCCTTGCCACCCAAGGTAGATGACCTCAACACGTCTGCTTGCCTTTTCAAGGCCAACAAAGGAATCTCTCTCACTTCAACCTGCTAAATATTTTATAGTGTAACATAATCACAGGAGTGACATTCCATCACCTTTGCTTCTTATTAGTTACAAGCAAATCATACTTAAGGGGAGGGGATTTTATAAGGATGTGATTTATTGGGGATCACCATAGGCTGTGGCCACCACAATGTCTGATAAAATAACTAAGAATACATGTTTTCTTATATAAAACTCATACATTTTCTTATGAAGAAATTATGCATATTCAAGACAGCCAAAATATATTAATGTAGCTCCCTGAAAACTAGTTACTATGTGAAACTATGCATATTTTTTAATTTTTTAAATATATTTTATTGATTGTTATTACAGTTCTCCCATTTCCCCCCGTTCATTCCCCTCCACCCCGCACACCCTCTCTCACCCTCATTCCCCACCTTTAGTTCATGTCCATGTGTCATACATATAAGTACTTTAGCTTCTACATTTCCCATACTATTCTTGCCCTCCCCCTGTCTATTTTCTACCTACTATCTATGCTACTTATTCTCTGTACCTTTCCCCCCTCTTTCCCCCTCTCACTCCCCTGTTGCTAACCCTCCATGTAATCTCTGTTTCTGTGATTCTGTTCCTATTCAAGTTGTTTGCTTAGTTTCTTTTGGTTTTGTTTTAGGTGTGGTTGTTAATAATTGTGTTTGCTGTCATTTTACTATAAATGTTTTTTTTTCTTCTTTTTCTTAGGTAAGTCCCTTTAACATTTCATATAATAAGGGCTTGGTGATAATGAACTCTTTTAACTTGACCTTATCTGAGAATCACTTTATCTGCCCTTCCATTCTAAATCAAAGCTTTTCTAGACAGAGCAATCTTGAATGTAGATCCTTGCCTTTCATGACTTGGAATGCTTCTTTCTAGCCCCTTCTTGTCTGTAAGTTCTCTTTTGAGAAATCAGCTGACATTCTGATGGGAACTCCTTTGTAGGTAACTGTCTCCTTATCTCTTGCTGCTTCTAGGATTCTATCCTTCATTTTAACCTTGGGTAATGTAATTATGATGTGCTTTGGCGTGTTCCTTCTTGGGTCCAACTTCTTGGGGACTCTCTGAGCTTCCTAGACTTCCTGGAAGTCTATTTCCTTTGCCGGGTTGGGGAAGTTCTCCTTCATTATTTGTTCAAATAAGTTTTCCACTTCTTGCTCTTCCTCTTCTCCTTTTGGTACCCCTATAATTCAGATGTTGGAACTTTTAAAGATGTCCTGGAGGTTCCTAAGCCTCTCCTTATTTTTTGGAATTCTTATTTCTTCATTCTTTTCTGGTTGGATGTTTTGTTTTTTCCCTTCTGGTCCACTCCATTGAGGTGAGACTTCATTCCATCACTATTGGTTCCCTATGCATTTTTCTTCATTTCACTTATTGTAGCCTTAATTTTTTTCATCTAATTTGCGACCAAAATCAACCAGTTCTGTGAGCACGCCACAGTACTTTGAACTGTGCATCTAATAGGTTGGCTATCTCTCAGTCGCTTAAAAATACTGGTTGTGAGGTTTTCAATTCTGTTTGAGCTATCTTTTTCCCACCCTTTGGTCTGGTCATGCCTGTTACGTATGAGGGGTGGAGCCTTAGGTGTTCACCGGGGTGGGACACCCCAGTCACTAGGTTGTGATGTTTTATGTGGGGGCAGCGTCGGAGAGGGAAAAATGATGGTTGCTCTGCTCTCCGTCGGACCTCAGTCCTTTCTGCTGCTTCCCCTGAGCAAACTGGGTCCCTCTAGTGCCAATTCCCATGTGGGTGGGCTTGTGCACACCATGGGACTTTCCAAGGACCTCTCCTGTGAGGCTGGGAGTCTCCCTGCACCTCAACTCCCACAGGTGTTTTCAATCAGTGCCCCAAGGCTCTATTTCCCAGCACTCGAATCCTGGGTTGCGCTCAGTGCTTTGCTTTACAATCGCCGCCTCGCTGGGTCTGCCAGTTGCCACCCCTGGGCCAGGGTCGGCCGGCTGCCACTTGCACTCTCAGGGTCCACCTGCTGCAGTCTTGCATGCCCCAGATGCCTTAGGAGCCTGGTCCCAACACTCTCTGCACGGTGACCTGCACCCAGCTGCCTGACTCTGCCCCTCCTACTGGCTACCTTTCTGGATGAACGTGTCTATTTTAACTTCTTGATTGTGCAACTTCCATTCAGATCAATTTTCTGTTGGTTCTGGTTGTTATTCTGTTTCTAAATTATTGTTGTCTCTATCTTGGTTGTGTGAGGAGGCACAGTGTGTCTACCTATGCCTCCATCTTGGCCGGAAGTAAAATATGCACATTTTAAGCAATTAACACATCTAACATCAAAGAATATCCTGTTTAACATTTATAAGCTAACCTGGTAAGCTTTAAATCTGTAGAAAATTTTGTAAAAGTTGTTGAATTTCTTGTACTATAATTAACAAAATGCACACAGTACAAAAAAATAGTTTTGAGAAATTTAAAATATATCAAATGCTATTGAATGGACTATGAATATATTGTCTTAACAAAATTTAGAGGATTCTCTTAGATTAAAAAAGATTAAGCATTCTAAAAAGGAGCAAAAAGGAACAAAAAGAAAAATAAAAGATTAACCATTTATCCTAACTTGATAGCATGTGCAAAGACCCTATTTCCAAATAAGGTCACGTTTTACGAGCATCCAGAAATAGGGCTTGAACATATCTTTTGGGGGGACAACAGAATTCATCTGGCAAACCCTTTTTACATCCGCCTCATGAACTCCTCACAGAACATCATTTCTAAGTTGCATGGTCCAGTGACCAAAGTCAGAGTTCTGTTTAAAGTGAATTTAATTTGATCACTTACCAAAGAGCAGGGGTTTTTAATATCATTTTTTGTTTTAAAAGTAATGCTCATTAATAAAGTGAGATAATACAAAAGTACATAAGGTGAAACATAAATATCTCCTACAATCTCAGTCAAATCCCCCTGTGGTATGAGCGCTCTTAACAGACAGTTCGGTAGGTAACCTTCCAGAATTATATAAAGATAGATACATACATACATACATACAGTTATAGATATAACAATCTCTGGAGCTTCTGAAATCTGAATCCTTGTTTTGTTTTGTTTTTTAAATATTTTATTTACTTATTTTTAGAGAGGGGGAAGGAAGAGAGAAAGAGGAAGAAAAACCTTTTAATATTTTAGTTGTTTCCTAATAATTAAAAAAATTAAATTTGTTTTTAGATAGAGGGGTAGGGAGGGAGAAATTGAGGAAGACACTAATTTGTTGCCTCTCGCATGCCCCCAACCAGGGACTGAACCCAGGGACTGTGCAAGTGATCCCTTTGCCTCTTGCATGCCCCCAAGTGGGGACCTGGCCTGCAACCCAGGCATGTGCCCTGACTAGGAATCGAACCAGTGACCTTTCGGTTCACGGGCCGACACTCAATCCACTGAGCCACACCAGCCAGGGCATATATGCCTTTTTTTCCACCTGATTTTTAATTTACTTTCAATTAAATTTATTGGAATGACATTGATTAATAAGATTATATAGGTTTTGAATGTACAATTCTATGATATATCGTCTGTATAATGTATTGTGTGTACAACACCCAAAGTCAAATCTTCCATATGTTTGACCCCCTCTACCCTTCAGTGCTCCACCAAACTCCTTCCCTCTGGTAACCACCATACTGAGATATGCCTTTGACATTTATATTCTATTTTGTACAATATATTATAAGATTTATTTATATAAAATAAAATTTGTATTATATTTCACTTCTATATAGTTGAAATACAATAAAAATCAAGATGACAGCTCAATATCCACACTGAGGAGTCAAGTAACTGATGTAAAAATTGTTATGACCCAGAATATTGATAAAATATTGGAAAGCGAAGAAAAATTGAATATCTTCACTGACAGAACAAATGATCTCCAAATAACTGTAAGTGATGCACACCTGTCTTGATCTACAAACATTAATCTATTCTAAACATAAAGTTAATGCTCTTGAGACAAACTGCCTAAAGCATGGATTCTGTGAGATAATCCTATGTCACCACATTATGGCTTTATCAAGAAATTGTAGCCCTGACCCATGCATGTATCTCAATTTGTTGGATGTCAGTCTGCAAAGCAAAAGGTCACCAGTTCGATTCCTGGTCAGAGCACATGCTTAGGTCACAGGTTCGGTCACTGGTTAGGGGCATGCAAGAGGCAACAAATTAGTGTCTCTCTCCCTCAATTTCTCCCTCCCTACCCCTCTATCTAAAAACAAATTTAAAAATTTTTTAACTATTGGGAAACAACTAAAATATTAAAAAAATAACTATAATACAATTTTTTAAATTAATCAAACTTTTATAATTATTATATTTATTGGTGTGACGTTGGTTAATAAAATTATTTAGGTTTCAGGGGTACAATTCTATAATACATCTTCTGTATGTTGTGCTTTGTGTTTACCACCTGAAGTCAAGACTTCTTGCAGAACCATTTATTCCCCCTTTACTCTCTTCTACATCCCCCCACACTCCCTTCTCGCTGATAATCACCATACTGTTGTCTGTGTCTATAAGGTTTTTTGTTTTTGTTTTTGTTTTGTGGTTTTTTTCTTAATCCATTAACTTTTTCACTCAACCCTCCCCACCTGTCTGTTCTCTGTATCTATGAGTCTGTTTCTATTTTGTTAGTTTCTTTTGTTCCTTATATTCCACATATAAGTGAAATCATATGGTATTTGTTTTCTCTGACTGCCTTATTTCATTTTGTATAACACACTCCAGGTCCATCCATGCTCTTGCAAAAGAAAAAATTTCCTTCTTTTTGACAACCAAGTGGTATCCCATTGTGTAAATATTCCACAGCTTTTCTTATCCACTCATCTACTTATGGATGCTTGGGCTGGTTCCAAATCTTGGCTATTGTAAATAATACTAAAAAATATCCAGATTTTAAAAAACACTAAAGTAGGTGTTGATTATTTGCATGACAGAATGATTTCTTGCAATAAGAAACACTCAGGGCCCTGGCCAGTTGGCTTAGTTGGTTGGAGCATTGTCCCATGTACCAAAGGCTTGCAGGTTTGATTCCTGGTCAAGGTACATGCCTGGGCTGCAGGCTGGCTCCTCAGTTGGGGCATGTATGGAAAGCAGCATATCAATGTTTCTTTCTCACATTGATGTTTCTCTCTCTCTCTTCCTCTCTCTCTAAAATCAATAAATATATCCTCAGGTGAAGATTAAAAAGAAAGAAAGAAACACAGATTAGTCAACAAATGAATTGCAAGGGGAAAAAAGAGAGGGAGGACTTACAAAAAAATTGACTTAGAAAGTATAACACTTACAATGTGTGGCCCTTATTTGGATTTTGATTCGAACAAACTATAAAAATTAAAATTTACAACTTTTATGAGACAACTAGATTTTGAACTCTGGTTAAATATTAGATGACATTAAGAAATATTAAATTTTAGGTGTGATAATGGTATCATGATTATGGTTTTAAGAGTCATTATTTATTACAGACACATAATAAAATATTTATGGATTAAATTATATAACATCTGAGATTTGCTTCAGAATTGTTCAGGAGTGGGAGAGAAGGATTGGGTAAGAATGAAACAAAATTGGCCATAAATTGATCATTGTTATAACTAACTGGATGTTGAATGTATTGGGATTCATTATGCCATTCTGTCACCTTTTGTATGTGTTCAAAATTCTCTATTAGAATATAGTTATTTTAAATGTATTATATTGATTATACTATTACAGTTATCCCTTTTTTTTCTCTCCTTTTTTCCCCTCCACCCTCTACTCCCCCTCCCACCATCATTCCCTCACCTCAGTTATGTCCATGGGTCATACATCTAAGTTCCTTGGCTTCTCCATTTCCCATACTATTCTTAACCTCCCTCTGTCTATTTTGTTCTGACCATTTATGCTTCTTATTCCCTGTACCTTTTCCCCCACTCTCCCCACTCTCCCTCCCCAGTGATAACCCTCCAGGTGATCTCTATTTCTGTGAATCTCTATTCTAGTTGTTTGGTTACTTTCTGTTTTTTTTTTAAGTTAGGTTGTTGATAGTTGTGAGTTTGTTGTCATTTTACTGTTCATAGTTTTTTTCTTTTTCTTACATAAGTCCCTTTAACATTACATATAATAAGGACTTGGTGAAGATGAACTCTTTTAGCTTTATCTTATCTGGGAAGCACTTTATCTGCCCTTCCATTCTAAATGATAGCTTTGCTGGATAGAGTAATATTAGATGTAGGTCCTTGCCTTTCATGACTTCAAATACTTCTTTCCAGCCCCTTTTTGCTTGTAAGGTTTCTTTTGAGAAGTCAGCTGATAGTCTTATGACAACCCCTTTGTAAGTAACTGTCTCCTTTTCTCTTGCTGCTTTTAAGATTCTCTCCTAATCTTTAATCTTGGGTAATGTGATTATGATGTGCCTTGATGTGTGCTTCCTTGGGTCCAACTTCTTGGGGACTCCCTGAGCTTCCTGGACTTCCTGGAAGTCTATTTCCTTTGCCAGATTGGGAAAATTCTCCTTTATTATTTGTTCAAATAAGTTTTCAATTTCTTGTTCTTCCTCTTCTTGTTCTGGCACCCCTATGATTCAGGTGTTGGAAGGTTTATAGTTGTCCCAGAGATTCCTAAGCCTGTCCTCATTTTTTTTTTTTGAATTCTTGTTTCTCATTCTGTTCTGGTTAAATGTTTATTTCTTCCTCCTGTTCCAAATCATTGATTTGAGCCCCAGTTTCCTTCCCATCACTGTTGGTTCCCTGTATATTTTCCTTTATTTCACTTTGTATAGCCTTCACTTCTTCCTGTATTTTGCATCCATACTCAACCATTTCTGTGAGCACCCAGATTACCAGTATTTTGAACTTTGCTTCTGATAGGTTGGCTAACTCCTTGTCACTTAGTTCTCTTTCTAGAGTTTTGATCTGTTCTTTCATTTGAGCCATATTTCCTTGTCTTGACACACCTGTTATGTTGTAAGGGGCAGAACCTTAGGTATTTGCCAGGGCTGGAACACCCACTTCACTGCATTGTGGTGCTGTATGTCAGGGAGGGGCCAGAAGGGGAACAATGCTGTTTGCTTGGCTCTTGCCCCACTTTCAGTCACTTCCCTTGCCTCCCACAAGTGGATTGTTCCCTCTCTGGTGCTGATTTCCGGGTGGGTAGACTTGTATACATTCTTGGATCCTGTGGGCCCTTCCAACAGATTCTGCTGTGGAACTGGGACTTTCTCCCACCACCACAACAACCATAGGTTTTTACAGTCAGAGGTTTTGAGGCTTTAGTTTCCTACACTGGAACTCTGGGTTGCGTGGTCTGTCTCGCTCCCCAGTTGTTCCTCCAGGCTTATTAGCACGTGAATGTGGACCACCCAGTCCACCAGCCACCACTTTGTCACATGTCCTTGCTGCCCCAGCTTCCCATCTCTGCCTCATGTACCAGTCCAGATGAATATTTCTTCTTTAACTCCTTGATTGTTGGACTTCCATACAGTTTAATTTTCTGGCAGTTCTGGTTGTTTTTTGTTTTTAAATTGGTTGTTATCTTTTTGGTTGTGCAAGGAAGTGAAGAACATCCACCAACACCTCCTTCTGAGCTGTCAGTTCCTGTCTTTACCAAAATAAATAAGTTAAAAAAACATTGTTGCCTTGTTGAATACAGCCAGTAACAAGAACTCACATTACTACCATCCTCTTTTCCAACCTTTTCTTCTGAAATGACAGACTCAATAGGTCCTTTGTCTGCCTTCCAAATTGTCATAGGTGATAGTTTTAGCAAATATTTTACCCTCGATAGCACAGGTCTTTCTCTTTCTAGTCCCTTCACTGTCTACCACATGATGGTTAAGTTACTGTTTTAGAATTGTGTAATAAGAACATCTCATCTTACTACCAATTTCCATATTAGTTAGAGAAACACTAGCTGTAATAACATACCTCAGGTTTTCAATGTTTTACTCAATAGAGGTTTATTTCTTGGTTGTATAACAGTCTGAGGCAGGTTTTTCAGTAGGCAGACTTCCACATGGTAATCCAGTAACCCAACCATTTTCCATTTAGTGACTCTGTCATTGCCTTGGGCCTCAATATTTAAATTTCAGGTGATAGTGGCTAAACAGGGAATAAAGGAAGCATATTTGCTTATAGCCCACTTTAGCTCCAAAGTGACACCCATCACTTCTACTCACAATCTGTTGATAAGAATTAGTCTTCTAGCTTTGTATAGGTACAAAGGTTAGAGATGGGCATAGCATGCAGTGGGGTAATGGGCCTGAGAAATGTAGCCTGATTAGAGAGTTTCTTGCCATCAACAGCTCCACATTATGGAAGGGAACTGAAGTCTTCACTGGACAGAAGGAAATTCTGTGAGGGAGTATGTCAGGCAGATGGAAAATGGTTTCAGGTGAAAATTCTGAGTTTCAGCAAGAAACAAAATTTCAACAAAGTGGTAAAGGTGTCAGTAACATTGAATATTGACTGCAGTGTGGTGATGAGAAGTAGTTGGATTGTGGATATATTTTGAAGGTGGAATGAATTAGAGTTGTTGACAGATTGGATGTGTGGTGAGAAAGTCAAGAAAGACTCTAAAGCTTTGAGCCTAGTGAAGAGGGAGGATGGAAATTCCATATAGTTCCATTGCTCTCCTCATGTGAGCCCAAGGCTTAGCATGCTGTCCCTGAGAACACTAATATTCTAGACCCTGGATGACAGAGACTAACATCAGCACCCCTCCAAATCCAGAGGAGCTGCATATAAGTGTGATTTCTCACTGCCCTCCTAGATTCCTACATGTGGCCTTACTCTTACTTTCTTCCAAGGTTGAGTTATGTATTTAAATGTTTGCTTCTCTTATTTTATCCAGCATTTCTGAGTAGTAATAGTGGCAAGGTTATGGGTTTACATAATCTACCATATCA